ACCAGGAAGCCCCGAAACGCACGACCCTGGAGTCCTAAATCTGATTTCATGGGGATTACAATCCCTGAGCATCCGCAACAGGCGTGTTGCCGGTCTTTGTTGCGCCTGCTTCGGCTGCGAAGCTCGTCTCTGTTTTGGCCTCCGCTCGTGTGCTTCCAATGCTTCATAGGGGCCTCTCGGGCCCTCAAGGCGGCAGTTGATCTTGGAAACGCGGCTCAGGACAACATGGTCTCTCCGTCTTGATGTTCGAAGAGCTTTTCAACGGGAGGTGCATCGCACACGAAGACGTCGAGCAACGGTGACACTATAAACGGGTAGCCTTAAGTAACTAGCGGCTAGCGGTATTGCGTTTGGGGTTTGTGGCGTTGCAACGAGTGGAACGGTCTTTGTGCCGACAGCTGCTTTGCAACATGAAAGGCCTTGTTGCTTTGTTGTTGCCAGGCCGATCTTCATCTGCCGCCGTTCCGAGGACACACGGCTCAATAAGTTTGAGTCCGCTCCCTGTACAACCGATTTGGCTGCAGCTAGAGGGGAAACTCAACGGTCTCGGGAACTGCTTTTCAAGGGAACTTCAAAGGAAGAGGGCGCTTAATGTCGTGAGCCTCCAGTTGACATGAAATCAAGCCGTTCCCTCCGTGCGATCAGCGTTTTCAGGGTATGCAGATTTGCTGTCCAGAGTCTAAAGGGTTCTGGTTTTCGGCGTTAGGCCTGAAGTTGTGGAGAGACGTTCTGCATGGAGAGACTTGCTTTCAACCCCCGTGCGTAGGTCATCGACTGCCCACGATCATTCAATTCGATTGGTGGGCGGCTCCATCTAAATCCAAGGGTTCAGATGTTTGGATCAAAACTAAGAGTTGTGTCCCCGCAGAAGCTCTGAATGTGGTCGGGCTGCGAGCAGTTGTCCCAGCAACCTTTGATTGTATGACTCGTCTTCGGGATGTGACGGCGCCGGCAAATTTTCCAGGTAGAAGATCTCAGTTCGATACTCCAAGTCCCGGAGCATCCTTGAGCTTGCAGCCGAGGAGATCAGCCCGGGCGACGAATACGAGGCAAAGCAAACGTCAAAAGGGAGGCGGTTTTCATTCTGAGTTATTTTATTGTAGCGTGCAAATGTCCAATCCTGAAGCCCCGCATAAGTTCCTGCAGACTGCAAGTCTCGCTCAAGTCTACGTACGTGGGATCAGGGTAGCAAGCCAGCTTTCCCAAGAGCTCGAGTGTTATTCCATCTAAAGCTTCTATGTAGGGGCTGTGGCATGCAGGTAGGGATAAACAGGAAAGTCCCGAGGATCTACGAAACGGAAGCCCGAATCCCTCCGACCTCACTGGCTCGATTCGCAGTTGGCAAGCTATGGCGAAGCTTCGGAGTAGGCTGTGCGGGTCGTCTCTAGGCTTCCCCGGACTTCATTTAGACCGAATAGGAGCTGCACCAAGTATACAAATTCATTCGTTTGCTTCTGTTTTCCTTCTTTTGTCTGAAGTCTGTGCCCCACTCGGCGCTCTAAGGTTTCGATTATAGGGGCTACGATTAGTTCCAATCGTACACACGACTATGCAGATTGGGCAGGGCAGCATTTGCTTCAAATGCCCTCCCAACCGCGATTTTGCTGGCAAATTCGTCGATTCCGCAAGCATGGACTCTGAACTCGAACAGTGCATGTTTAGCAACCAGTCATTGCTTGGCAAAGCGGGGCACGTGAATGTGGGTACAGAGCAACTGATCGAGTTTTGCCGTTGTTCCAGCTTGGAGGCCAAACGCACGTAGGGGTGCATAAACTGTCACGTCGATGTTTGCGAAACATCATCTTGGAAGTTTACGTACCTGTGCACACCAAGCGGAGCTGCACGTGTTTGAGGACGTAGCCCTCGATTGTACCCTCAATATGCTGGGACCCATGGAGAAACTCTTGGAGTAGATTGAGTGATTTAGGCGGCGTACAACCAGCTCTCACATGCGGAAACGAAACCTGTGACTGGGCAGCACCGTTGGGACGGACCACAGGGGGTTTTCTTTCACAAACTTGCGAGCTTTGGGTATCTAGGCGTCGTATGAATATATGTATGCGTGTACATCGATTAAGTATGCAGTTATATAGGTGTATACACAGACAAGTGAACAACAATACAGAATCAAACATGTATATTATGTATATCTACATGTACATGTATATCGACCGGCTTTATGCTCAAACGCTGAACCCCGACATGGTGTGTTTATAGTGTCCAAATCGTTCCTGGTCAGAGCTAGCACTGCGCCCTCGGACGCTGAAGCACAATGCCCAATGCGTGTTTTTTCTTGATAGCTGCTGGAGAAGGTTTGTGCCGTGTTTACCTACACCTGATTCGTCGTTTTTTGAATTGAAGAGATGAAGCCAGGCCGGTTTCGCCAACTGGTGGGTTGTCAGCGTGGGCTTGCGGGGCTTGGGTTGCTTGTTGCTTACCCTTGGATGTTATGTTGTTTTTTGTATGGAATTCACTCGTAAGCTCGACAGCCAGTAGAGCCGGCCCAAGGATGTATGGGATGTGCTTCCCCACATTCAGGAGACTATGCGCAGCCCATGCACCATGAGTTGTCAGAGTATTAGTCTGCAAGGCTCGAGATGTAGGTTCAGGTTAGGATGCCTAGGCTCAAGTTTGACTTTGACATCTTTTCGTGGATCAGTTTGGATTGCCGGCTTATGCAAAAATCATGGAATGAGGTAAACCTCATTCACACCGTAAGTCGGGCAACTTCAAGCATTGATTCAGAGTTTGGTTTAGTTTGGCGCCTGCAGTAGTAAGGAAGCGAATTCAGATGCCCCCGTCCAGCATAAGCTTTTGACAGTTCCCCCCCTCGAGTCCGAATCCTCAGCAGGTCCTGCGTGAAAATCTACACATGCTCAAGTACCAATCGACCAGCCCGAATGCCAAGTTTGCAACCTGCACACATTTGCGGAAAATCTATCACCTGCGTCCCTGTACCGCAACCACAAGATGATCGACAACAGGTCGATTTTCAGCCGCATTCAAACACCTCCAATCCCGAACGCCCAGTACCCAAAATTGGGTGAGGTCTGCCCACCTTACCAAAATATGAGGGGGCCACCTGGGCCCCTAACTGTCCGGACGGAAGCGGCAATCGACAAAGGCCTGTGAAAGCAATCCGCAACTGCGTGGGGATTCTTTGCAGATTTCGGAAGCCCAAAAGCTCGGACATTGATTCATGGCTGGGAGGACGTGGCCACCGCCAAGGAAGCCGTGAAAGCTGCGCTCGGCCCCCTCCAGCCCGTGCCTTGATTGCAGTGACCTTCCAAGATCCCAAAGGTGTGTTATCGGCTGCGACTCGTTTTGTGCTTATGTTTACGAGGGATGAGCAGCTGATGCCATCCATTCAAAAGTTTATCACAACCATGCTTTAAGTTCAGATCCTATCAACTTCGAACCCCACTGCAGAACCCCAATTTCGAATCTGTTCAGCTGATGCTGAAAGCCTCCTACAGTTTCCGAGTCGCAGGCACTCCTGCGCGTGGAGAACTGCACGCAAGCGCTGGAAGAGATACTGCAGTAGTCATGACAATAGGCTTTAGGCCCTTGGGCTCTGCAGATCGGAAAGCCGTCTAGCTCAGCGGCATCCGTTAGAAAGGGTATTTAGGTCCAAAACGTGAAAACTGCTCCTTGAAGCTCCAAGCCTCAAGACGTCTAGCTCTTGCCGTGATCCCCGATAGCCTTGATAGGTTGCCTAGTTGCAATCAAGATGTTGAACTTGTGATCATACTGTACTGGCAAACAGCGATGAAACCCTGCGCAGACATGATGCGACGGGCCCAATGCGCCGTTAATGATCCTGTCGCGACGGCTCGAGCTCCTGTCAACCTCAAGTATCCAATGAGAAAGGCCAAATTTAGCACCACTATCCTACCTCTGAGCCCGTCAGGCAAAGTCAACCAATCCTTGATTGGGTGAACATGTGCGATGTGGCTTGCATGGCGACAGGTCAAAAAACTCAAAAGGAGCATAGAAGGCTCTGCTACCCAAGGGCTCCCGATCGCTCACATTGCGTATGTGGGAGTCGATTGGTGGCCTCTAAAGCAACCTCAACAGCATGAAACGACCAAAGAGTATCTCTGCCCTGCAATGTTGACAGAAGCTCACCGGTCAATTTCAGTCACCCTCCTGTCGCGCGTTATGGCTGAAAAAAGGGGCCTGGAGTCCGCTGAGCTCGACTGGTGGGTTTTCGGGTTGTTTCGCTCTTTGCACATACGTATCAAGTTCCTGACAGCTGGGAAGCAGTCGAGGTTTGCGGTTCTTGAGTTGAGGCGCAGGGTGTAGGCGCTATCTGAAAACTGGTCAACAAGCTCAGGTCTCGGCCGAACGGGGACGTGATTGGAGTGATAGGGTTCCTCGCGCTGCGTGATTAAGCAGAGATTTTGCTGGTGAAGGTCTGAGGCTTCCTTGTTTGCTCATCCGCTTGCCTCATGCCGTAGAGGATCAGCCCCTTGGGTAGTGGAACTGCTTGACTTGAGGATGCTTGGTTGTGACGGAAGACATATGTGACTTCATCCTCCGCGAGAATCATGACGTTGAACCTTTCATAGTTGTGTAAGAAACAAAGTTAAACAAACCTTCCCAGCAATGAGCTTGAAACTCCTCAACTCTGAAAGTTCGCGAAGCAGGAGACGTCAAACCCTTGACAGCTGTAAGCTGTCAAGCCTACATTTCCCGAACATTGCCAGCCCATGGGCCAGAAGTCCTGCGACTCCTAAAAGGCGGTTCAACGATTAAGCCCATAATCTCTTAAGCAGCCTATGAAGCTCATAGAACGCACAGACATGCACAGATGTGCACACACACACAAATACTTGCGCATCACAGACTACACTACACACATGAATAGAGAACGAGGTCAGCACTCCTGAACACGATGCAAGCATAATCCAGGGCTTTCGCCCTTCGAAGCCTGAATTTGCATGTGTTCATCGAGCGGAGCCTCAACTCCCGAATCTCAGTTCCTGACCGACCTAGAGGTCGCGAGCGTTTGCGGCGTCAGCAGCGGCTGGCGAAGAGCTTCTTCAATGCTACAGAGGTGCGGCACTACTTTCAGCCTTTGACTCAATTCTCGTTCCTTCTTAGATTTCGGATTTCGAGGCATTTAGGACACTGGAATCTGCTTACCGAAAAAAGGCCTGACCTCCGAGACATGTTTCTTGGCGAGCTGGTAACAAACACAGATGCCCCAGGATCCCGTGCCGAAAAGCCAGCCCCGTCCCAAAACAAAAGGGTCAGATCCGAGCATCTCCACGCAGGGATATCAGAAACGTGAAAGGAATCGAGTAAAACACTTCTGCTAGCCTTAAGCCTTCTCGCAACCCCCTGAAAAAGTCACGCGTGGCGTACGCCTACGAGGCGTTGATGGAGTCAGTCGTTGGGGCCTGGGCACAAGCGACGGTGGACAATCGTGGAGCCCTCAGTGTGCCGAGATGGGCTTTTGCAGGAGTGGTATTCTCGGCCACTATATGCACGCACGTAGGCTAGGGTCAGGACTTGACCTGCCTGCTGTGGAGGGGCAGACATGATCAGACTGTGAGGGTTCTCCAAACATGCCGAGGAGGGAAGGCTTTTCATCATCGTCAGTAGTCTGCTCGACATCATCAACGTCTTCGTCCTCCACATCGGTATCACCAACAGTGTCGACTTCATCATTCATCGCTTTGCCATCATCGTCATCATCATCAAGTCCATCATTATTGTCATCACGAGGGCCACACACGCGGTGACGTAGTCATCATCTACCTCTCCCCATCTCCTCCAGGTTCATCACGATAGTCGTCACATCTTCATCTTCAGCTGAATCACAGTCAGAATCATCTGCGTCGTTTTCGTGGTCCTCCACACCATCATGCCATAATTGCCGTCTTGAGGTTGTAGCAACTTGGCGAAGGTACATAGCAAGCGCCCATCAGAACTCTGGGTCGGATTCACATGTGAGGTGACATAAGGTGAGCTTCTGTGACTTGAGGCCTTTCGGTGCAAGCTACTGTTATCTTCACTGCAAAGCTGGAAGGTTGTGCGACTTTCGTGGAGTGCTATTTCGATGGTCTGCTGGGGTTTTGCGGCCAAGGTGTGACGCGCAAGAGGCGCATGTTTGCGGCGAGCTGGGTTGATGGCTGTGCTCCACTGATTGCATGCCAGCGTATGCGGCTTGTCATACCTTGTTTACCAGCTCAAGCCAGCCATGACAGGCTCATTCTGAATCTTCAGTCCCGAGCCTGGGCCCGTAAGTCCACTAGAACCGGACATTGAACAGGGCTCCAAAGGCTGAGGGTATACAAGCACTGCTTTCGTGACCATACATTCCGATACGACCCTGGTGCATCCTCCAGAAGAGCAGCTTCGAAAGTTTCTCGGCCGGACCTCCGAACTGAGCTCGAAGGCAGGAGATGCTACGCGAGCAGAAGCTTCGGGCACCGCACCCAGACACAGCGCAAACACCGCTTTGAGAGTCTCGGCGTGAGCAGCTTCTTGAGGATTTGAAGCCCTGCTCCAGGGCCCGCCGTCCTAGTTCAGGTTCACCGAGCAAGGTTCTTCCCCGCAGGAAGGGAGAACCCCAGGCTAGAACCCACAAAGACCCTTGGACTTGCAGAAGCCCGCAGAAAGGAGAAAGGAAACTCTACCAGTACGCCCTGAAAAGCAGGAGGTGGATCGGATCCTCCGCACCGGCATCGGCCAAGGAGCCGAGCTCTACTGCATCTTGCAGGTGGGATCTCTGTGGGATCTTGTCTTGAGTGCTGTCAAACTCTTTCAAGTTTATGAAAAACTTATAATTTATAATGATGACGGTTAAGCAATAGATACGCGCAGTAATTCTGGGGATTGGTGGGCTTTGGGTGGTGCATAGGAAGTCACAAGAACCTGCAGATGCAACACCGCACAAGCCGTGAGCTTGCTGGCGGCCCATGAGTCCTTGCTGCAAGGCCTGGCACCGAACGATGGTCCATCGCCGACAGAATGTGCGCAGCCGCAGCAAAACCGCTGAGGCCGCTGGTCTGTTCTAAGGCTTGGGCTTCGGGTGGGAAGCTTTGGCGTTGCATCTATGGCTTACAGTTTGGGGCTGCAGAGGGGCCGCGAAATCTGTCGAGGAGATTTTTCCGGGTTGCACAAGTTGTCGGCTTTGTCTTCAGGTTTTTGAGTTTAGTCGTTGGAGGTTCGCGTTGAGACTTGTTTTTATGCACTAATGCATCCCGCGATGAAGCGAAATGCGAAAACAGACAACTGTTGAAAACTCAGCCTCCGAAGTAGCAGAAGCTCGCAGTGCCAGCTGAATCCCTCCGAAACTACCAAAATCACAAGCGCATCATCTTTCTCAGCGCTTGGAGGCTGCAGCACAGTTTGCAGCGGACCACCTGCGCCTGGCCTTTTCGGCTTGGTGCGGATTCGTGAAGGCAAGGAGATGCTGCACCACCTGCAGCACAGAGTCAGTTTGCAAAGGAGACTCGAGGCTTTTGCACGCCTCGACCCTGCATGGTAACCCGGCTCCCCAAGCCATAAGCCATGGAGGCCGAGCAGGAAGCGCAAAAACAGCGGTTCCAGAGCGTCGAGCGCACGGCGCTTGTCAGCGGGGTCCTTGGTGACGAACTTAGGTTTGAGTCCTGAGGGTTTGCGATTCTGGCATTGAAAGTCTCAGGGTCAAGCATGCTTTGATTTCTCTCTTTTTTAACTAGGATATGGGATCTTCCTCTTAGCTTGCTTTTCTTGTCGTCATTTGCTTGGCTCACCCTGGCTTCTTCGACGAGTTGAATAATTGCATAAGTCGACGGTTGTAGCACTGAGACGAGCCCGGATCCACTAGTCGAGGTGCACAGGTTTGGGTCATTCTGCATAGGGTGAGATCTGGGTAAAATGCGCTGCTGCGTGACTTTTACGTGAGATGCTTTGTGTTCCCACCCGCTGCTACACGGCCTGTGCGAATTTGATGCAACCCCTATGTATTCAATGCACATGACCATCTTCATGCGGATTCAAGGAGTCATGAATCTCCTCCCCACAGTCCATCCATCGTACGCGGCAAAGAGTCCGCATTGCGCCCCAAGCGTCAGTATTACAGCATCAGTCTTCCACACCCTTACAGCCACTCCCTGTAATACAGTAAACCCTGCCAGCCTTGAAATCTTTATGAGATCACGCTTAGCTAAGAGTCGACGGTTCAACATGCTAAGCTACACACCGTATTCGTAAACAAGTAAAACACGTCAAGCACAAGAAGCCGACACTTACATGGCAAAGGGGACCCTGTCAGCCTGTCGGAGCTCCGAAGTCCGAAGGTCTCCATGCCTCGCTGGCGGTCGTCTGGGCGGCCTGGCACAAAGGACCGGACCTCGGGACCACTCGGGGCACCCGCGGGGGCACCTGCGGGGGCACCCGCGCGCTCAAGATGGCAATTGAACTGAGTCTGTACTTCGTCGAGACCGGGATGTCCTCATCAGGTTTGGGAATTTGGGTCCAGGTTACAGGGTTGGGTTTAAGTTTAGGATTTTTTCTCTTTGCAGGCCAAGTCGTTTGGACTGGCGGTTTAGGGATGTAGCACAGAACCCGATCCAGGACAGGATCCCGAGTCAGATTTTCTGTGCCAAGACGCCGAGGCGCAGTGAGCAGCCGTCGGAAGCAGAAGGTGGAGCAGCATATGACCAAAGCTCAGCAGTGGAAGGCAATTGAAGGCAATTGAAGTTCGGGTCCAGGACGGACGGGCTTGGCAATCCACGCCCTGGCTGTGCACATAAGTGTTCCTGTGAACAGAGCTCGCACCCCCAGCTAGATTTTTCGGCTTAGAAGATTTTGACATTGACAATTTATGGATGTACACTCAGGCTGCGCAGCTTCGGGATGTTTGGTAATTTAATATTATGCTTCCCTGATTGGGGCTTCGGATCTTCTGGGGGCTAGAGCTGAGGTGCGGGCTGATGCGATCTCAGGAGGACAATCAACAAGGCAAGGAGGGACACCGGCAATGGGGCTACAGTAACGGTCCACAGGCTGACTTCCTGATCTCAAGATCGTACGTGGGTGCCAGTGCTGGGTTTACTTATGGTGTTGGGTGGTGAATCCCGCTGTTGTGGTTCCGGCCTGGTGCCTCAGTCTAACAGACTTTCCAAAGACGACTTGTGGCGGATGGAAAAGGGGCGAGACAAAAAGATGTGGACTGCTTGGATCTTGATGTTCGTATGATTCACTGGCAGTTTTCGTGGATATACGAAGTCACGTATCCTCAACTGTGCCCTGTATCTCCTGGAAGCCACGCTTTCAGTTCCAATCCGAAACCCTATCATCTCACAGTGATGCACCTGATGCTAAAACCCAACCGACACTTCTAACCTCGTCTACTCAACTTGAAAGCCTCCGGTACTAAGCTCCACCCAACGAACACTCGGGCATGGTCCTAGCTCACCACGGTTTCTACTGAAGGTTGCTTCCTGCTGCCACGGCCTCAGCATGAAGAGCTGGCAGGGGCTCCTCGAAGGCGTTATAATGTCGCCACTCTTTCGCGGCCAGTATGGGTGCAAGAAGTTCCTGATTTCGGATTGTTTATTTTCCAGAGTCTTGGCATGTTCGGGTTCTTTCAAGTCGGCCGTCGGTAATAGCCAAGAGTGTTTAAATCTGAGGCGATCATCCCGTGCCCTAACCTCGGCCGCGGAAGCGCACACTGCCTGGCCAAGAACAGGACCCCAAACGTACCGTAAAACCTCGCGCCGGCTCGCTCACTCTCACTCTCTCACTCTCTCACTCTCTCACTCCCTCACTCCCTCACTCCCTCACTTCCTCTCTCTCTCTCTCTATGTCTCTCTCTCCGTCTTTGTCTACCTTTATGTAAACACACACGCAAAAGTCTGTACAAACACAGGCTCACGAACATCCTGGGGATGTTGCACATTCTGGTGCCTGAGTGTTTTCGTGGTGTTTCTCGAGTCTGAACCTTGCGCCGACGGTAGGCTCGTGAGTACTTACCAGGGAAGATCAGCGAAGTCTGATTTGGAGTTGTACACGCCCGAAGCCATGCTAATGGAGTGCATCTGCAACCCTTTAAACCTAAAACGTTTTCAAGCGCTGCGAGCGGGACCAGTTTCCATGATGATTGAGTTGGGATGTTTCCAGAAGTTTGTTTGAGCGTGTGTAGGTTTGTGTTAGCTTGCGTTTCGACGGCTGGGGAGCAATAGCTGGACACACAATTCTTAGAAAAGAAGCGTTTCTAAACGGAAGAAACCGTGTTTGCTGCACTCCAGCTGGGCGCGCAAGTTGCCATTTAAACGCGTTTCTACGTGGAGGACACCCCTTTAGCTGCGGAGCTTGTGCAGTGTGCGGAACTCTCGGGTGAAAACTGGATGCGTAAGTTTCGAAACAACCGCACTTCTATATGGAAGAAACCAAGTTAGTTATGCAACTTTGACAATGGCAGAATAGCGGGTTTTGGGTTTTGGGATACCGTAAGCGTTTAACCCCACAGCCCGTATTCCCAAACCCTAGACCCTAGCTCTGGTTGGATAAAGCTGGCAATCGTTTGAAATCACCTTCCAGTCCCAATGCACGGATCTCAGAACTTAGGGGTGTTTAATGTAAATAGGTTCGTAGTGGATTGGAGGTTTGAGATTCTGCTTAGGCTGGACACCCTAACATCGCCAAATTGTTTGTCGGGGCTGCGGTGTCAGGGTCGTGGCTTGGGGGCTTAGGTGGCTGCTTGTGCACCTTGACTGAAGGCTTGGACTCCATATACTGAGGCTTTACAACAGCTATGGTACTTTCTGACCACAGTGGCGTGGGTTGGTCCCTTCGGGGCAGAAGTTAAACGTACTTCTTGCAGCTGCAGCCCGGGCCCCGCAAGGCGATGGAAAACAGCAGTGCTTGGACAGAAGTTGAGGTGCGATTTGTTGTCGGGACTCTGCAGCGAGCAATTCTTGCTTTTGAAAGTATATTAACCTGCAGCTGAGGCGTGGGTTGTCTCAGCAACATCAGATATCCGGGCTTGGTAGCAGGCTGACAATTGCAATGCAATTGATGCAACCTTCAAAAGTTGGGCTTGAGCTGGATCCGGTGCCTGTTTTTTGCGGATTTCAGGCGATATGCATCCTGGCTGAAGGACCCAGGGCAAGTCTGTATGTATAGTCTTAGGTATAGACAGTTCTCTGAGTCATTACATCTACGCATATGTCAGCAAGAATTTGTATCTGTGTATATTATGTGTATATACACACACATGCATATCCTTTTAGTCTATTTATTTGTTCATAATAATATCAGTATTTATATATATATATATATGTACATATGTATATATGTATATGTTATATGTACACACACATATGCACGTGTATAAATGTATGTAGAGGTTTATGGATGGACATATAGATATGTAGAGAAGAAGATGCACATGCGAAGGGAGAGTGAGGCGATAAAAGAAGACACTTAAATTGGGAACGGAATGACTCTATGCATCTATTTGATGGATTGCTTATGTCGTGCGTTCATGCATATTCAGACCATACGTCGTCACTTCCAGATCTCTTGACTTCTGAACAGAGCTGTTCTCCAGTGGAGGGTCTGCTAAGTCTCACTTTCGACCTGGTGTCCCAACACGTTGAAGCCCTGAGCCCACTCTCAGTCCGCAGCCCGAAACCCCACTGCTCCCGGACTGGCTGCCCCGGCCACCCTGGGGGCCTAAGCTGTCCAACCGTACGAACCCTAACTCCTAAACGTTGCAGTTAGCCATATCATACATCCAAGCACTTCAAACCCTGAAGACCCTGTGCCGGACTCCCAACTTTTGCCCTTTGTTGAGGCAGCTCGACTGCATGGTGGTCAGTGAGAAGCCAGGCACGTTCAGATTGCATGCCGACCTCTACACCGTCGCTCAGCTCGAACTTGAAGCCAAGTCTAACTTGTGGAAAGGCCGGGAGCGGGCCTTGGCGAAGACCCGCTGGCTTCGAAGCAGCGCGCGACAACGGAAGGTGGAGTCGGGCTCTGCACTTTGAGCTTCATTCACAAACTCAGGGTGTCCGGTGCGGAATTTGGGCAAACGTTCAGGGCCTACGCTTTGCAGTCCGCATCTTATTGTCCCCTGCCATTCGGAGTCCATGCTTGCGCGGTGAAGCTGGCGATGGACTGGTGGACCTGCGCCAGTCAGACATCTGAATAGACAGTTTCAGGTGTCATGTAATGTCAAGGAGGCACGACAAGTATCCGGATTTTCACTCCTGCCCTTCTCGTCTCTGCTTCTCATAACATCCGAAGTCCCTAGCACCAGCGAATTTTTCAGTTGCGAGGCTGCATGATTTCTGCAAAGCCCTGATAAAACATTTTCACACTCAGCCCCAAAGTGTGAACACCACGAAAGAGACGTTCCAAGAAACTTCTCCCATCTCCGACGAAAGCCTTGAAGCCTTGTGACTCCTTCAACCCTTGAGCTTGCAGGTGCTCCTCTTTCGCGCCTGGATCGAAATCTCGGCACCTCAGTCGCTCTGGTCATGTAGCCCTCGGGGTTTTAGATGTAGGTTCCATGGACCGACAGAACTCCAAATTTCTGCAAGAGCGCGGATCAGGACTAATACAGTAGTCAGTGAAGTAAGCTGCAAACAGGTTTTGGAGCGAACCGTCGGTGAGGTTTTGAGTGACGTAATGATGTCCTCGAGTTTGGAAATCCGTTTTCGTTTTCTGGATTGCAGTATGGACTCAGGCTTCTTGAGCAGGGGTTGAACGGGTTTAGTGGTTAGATGATTCGTCTAGGAAACTCCTCAGACACGGCGATAACCTCTGTGCTGAGGACCCCATTTCTTATTGGAGCTGTAGTAGAGTAGGATGTTGGGCTCAAAGTTCAAAAAGGGCTCATGTGTGAGAAAGCTTCCCAGTCTGGTTGCAAAAAACTGAAGGCCGCGAAGCAAGTATGGTCTTTCGAAGCTTCCTTGCGCAAGCGGTAAAGCCCTGCCTAAGGTCTGAGACAGAAGAATGTTAACATTCCCGAAGCGACCTCGATACTCAAAAGCCCGAAGTCATATTCCTTAAAAGCTCGCGGAGCCCAACACCGGCGCACCATAGCTTTCCGTTCGCGGCGACAAAGCAGGGCTGCTTGACAGGCAGGAGCCATAGAGTGAACCAAGGCGGAAATTACGCGCCGAACCACAGCCGCAGAATGTGGTTTGATCGGGAACCTTCACTTTCCATACGCTGGGCATTCCGCCAGAGGAACCTGCAATCTGACAGCTGACGGCACATCAGATTGAAGCTTGACCCAGCCAGACTTGCTAACAAGCTGCGATCCGTCGTGCAGACCTGCTTTGGGTGTCGCTGCAAGCTGGCCAACAGCAGCAACCCACAGGCGACAGCGCGAAGAGTGCGTGCTGCTTCTCTTAGGCAGAGCTGCGCCAACAAGCGGCCTTTGGGGGCTGAAGAGCACCTCCATCCACACGACCCCTTTTATGTGAGCTGAGCAATGAATAATCAAAGGTCCAATCCACATCACGGATTCCCCAAGCCCAAGCTCGCAAGGCCAAGCTGGGCCCAGACAGCCAAACAAAAGCATCCGCCAGTTCAGGCCAAGTGGCACGAAAAACAGATGCACAAGGCCAGGGCAAGAAGGCTTTCGGCTTCAGGTTGTGTTGCTTAACGATTTATCGGCTTAGTTCGAAGGGGAATGAAAGCTCTGACGGGTTGCTGCCGGTCACGCAATCTGCATGGTCGATTAGCCGGATCTACGTTTGTGGCTGGACTCGGATTTTTATTTGGTTGGCAAAAGGAGCAGGTCTATCCATCCCTGGAACATTGAAGACCAAGCCTCGTGTGAGGTGTGTCAAACCCCATCCCGCCCCCTTTCCAAAGTCTCAAGTCCGAAGCTGCTGGATGCGTCAAACCCCTTTAGACCTGAAACATCGCAGCACCTTCGAACCTTCCACAGATGCTGGGCCTTCGTACGCCTGAAGCGCGTGGCCCTTGCATTACATACGAATGCCAACACCGGTGGAAGCATTTCGGTTTTTGCGTTGTTTCTGCTGTGGTGACGTGCAGGACCGGTTCGTGGCTTCGGCTCAGCAGGAGACGATTTCTGTGCAATTTCCTAGTTTGGACTTTTGATAGAATTCTTGTGTCGGGCCTTTTCAGAACGACGGCCTGGGGTTGCTGGACTGTACTCTAATCTGAGTCTAGGCATCGGCTCGTCAAGGCTCAAGATTGTGATTACGTGCATGTTTGATGTTCAGGGTCCGGGTGGGGATGTCTACTTGACCTTTCAAGGTTTGGGAGCGTCGAGGTCTTCGGCGTGGGGAGGTTATGAGTCGGTACAGGCAGGCAAAAATAGCGACAGGTAGCAGGTGAAGTCACGTCACTGTAGACTCTGTAGACTACAGAGTCTTCGGACTAGAAACAAGTCGTTCTGCTCTTGAAGAGTTGGGAATGCCCTTGATGTTCGGGGGCCCAGCGTGGTCCCAACTTCTGGTTCATTGCATGGCAAGATTTTGCCGGTGTCCGGCCGGGTCCCCAAGCTGTCGAAATCTAGCGCATTGCAGGAAGAGAGCCTTAACGTGTCCATGCTCCTCAGAGCTTGGCAAGGCGTGCGAGGGGAAACAACCAGAGCTTCTTCAAGCAGGGGCTTTCAGGGATGTTGGAGGTTTAGGTTTTGAGGTCCAGGCACGTGTGTGCCAAAGCATTTGCGCCATCGCAGCTGCGCACAGAAAGGAATGGTTTGGAGGTCTCAGAGTCGCGGAGCTCAAAACCACAAAACCCTGCAGCATCTCTGCCTATACCTGCGCCAGCTGCAAACGTATGGTGGCACTCCAGGAATCAAGAACTTCCGATACTGCACTCCAGTTTCTGCTTCTCGGCCCTAACAGTTGCGCCCTGGAACAGGAGCTGCGCGGGCCGAGCTCTGTGCCAAGCGGGAGGCACCCGCCTCGTCCGTCCACTGAAGACTCGCAGCAAGTGCTCCCACTTGGAGGTTGGTAGCTAGGCGCAGGAGGACATCAGTCGCTGTGCTTCTGGGAGCGCTGGGCTTGTTGTGGTGTTCTCGTTCGGGACTGGATCGTGGGCTTGCGGAGCCCTGCGGGGCTCGCTGGCTTGGTTGGTTCACCTGCAGTGGCGACTGATGGGAACTCTCAGGCTGAATTCCTGTGCAGGCTCTGAGGAGACTGGACGTGGAGTGGAGTTGTTTAGCGCTTTTCGGATTCAACACCTCGGTCTTATTTTAGGCATTGTCAGGCTTGAAAGAGTCCCTTTGAAAGTCGCCTTCAACACGCCCGGTGCGAAGGTTAAGAATGCCAGATGCCAAGAACCCTCGAAGCATCTAAGCCGCACAAAGCGACAAGCCCCACGCCGACTCGACCCCAACACCCCTATGATGGAACCAAGCAGCCCGGCCTTGTACAGGCTGAGATGCAACAGCTCAAGGCCAGACACAAGGCAAATGTGCACGAGGGTTTGAATTGCTTTGTCGAGCTTGGGGATCTTAGACTTTTAGAGATGAGGGTTCAGAGATCCTCTCCGTGGTTTCGGGCCAGGCAGATGCTCACAAGAGACTCTTGACATTTCAGCTGCGCCGACAATCTGGCTTTCTCAAAAACGTGACGTGCCTGAGCCCGAATCGCGATCGTTCCGTGGCGAGTAGATTAGTTTTCCTGCGCTTTGTGCATGAGGCAGACCTTCATTTGCCTGGAGACGAGTTGATGATCTGGTGAACTTTTGCACCAAACCTCAGCATGGCCAGGAGGAGTTAGAAGAGCTCCGGGAGAGCTTTATCGGCCGAATGCGCCAAGAGAAGGTGCTACTTGCTCGCTTTATCAGCTCTTGGGATTCCAGGGCTAGCTGATCAACCCACGTCTTTTCGATTTGCCTGGCGGTCGTCGTAGGCTAGTGCTGGCAGTGCTAGCAGTTGCAGCGGCAGCAGCATTCGCAGGTGCAGTCGTTGAGGGGATGGTGGAAGTGGTTGTAGTGTGGTGGTAGTGGTAGTGAGGTCATATGAGCTTTGGGAGCGTGTGAGGCTCGCGGTTTGGGGGAGGGCAGATGCCTGCCAGTGGTTCAACGCAAATCGTTGCAAAGAGTTGTGGCTGATGTCTGAAGAATTCTGCACCGAAAGGGTTTGAACACTTCCTTCATCTCCAGGAGGCTCAGCTTGAGGCGCGCCAGGAGGCGCGCTCAGAAGAGCTGTGCAGCAAAAATCAACAAAGGCGGACAGCCACGGTGGGATTTGTTTAGTCTGCAGCTGGCCCGTCGGGAATAAGCTGCTACAAGTTTTGACAAGGTAGGAAGGCTAGCACTTAACGAAGTCGGCAATAAGTTCGTTCGCTTCCTGCAAGGTTCGAATCCAGGTGAGCGGTGTCATTCAATCAGGACCTCGTATTTTCCTAAATCTCGGGCCTGCATCCACTGAAGTCCCAAAACTGCAGCCGGACCCCAAGCTGCTTGGGGCCCCAAGCATCAAAATCTGAAGTGCAATGCGGAAATCCCAAATCTGACAAGTGTCCCCAAGCCAGAACGACAACTTCCTCCCCACCACAGAACGGACTGCGCACACGTAGAGTTGGTTTCTGAGCCTTGAGCCAGGAAGGACCAGGTCCTACCAGGTCCCACTTTTCCCGGGTGAGTGCAGAATCTCGACTACGGCGAGGGCAGTAAAAGCCTGAAGTCGCCCAGCGCACGGAAGCACACGGAGAATGTAGAAAAGCAAGGAACCGGAAACCCTGAGCCCTATCCCCCCTGAACCCCCTCGCATCTGGCCGAGAACTTGCGGAAGCATTGGGCCGGTTCCCAGGAGGCGCCGCGGGCTTCGGGTGGAGCAAGAGAAGAGGGCATCGGGTTTCGGTGTTCGTCTTCGCTTCGTTTTTGGAGCCAGTCTTTCGAGTCAGCGCCTCCGCCACTGAAGCCATTCTGCGCAACAGACACGCACACCCTGTTTTCCTCTCCGTTTCTACATTTGACCCACACCTACATACGCACAGGCAGACAGACGAACGATGAAGGAACCTAATTTGCGTTGGCAGTCCAGAGCACGTGAAATCTCAGGCGCCCACCGCCACACAAAACATAACACAAGCATGTGTATTGCGACTGCTTTTGATGCTGCTTGGTTCTTCATTGAGCCTTAAGCCTTTCAGGGAGCAGGAGCAGCGGCTGCCACAACAGCAAGAACCTTGAAAGCCAGAGCAAAAGTTGACAGGCGCTCCGGTCCAACTCCTTCAAGTCTTGGCGTGATTACGCGCTCACGACCAGGACTTGGGGCTTGGTGTTGGGCTGAGGGTTTTGACTTCAGCTAAGGTTGGCTTGCGACCTTGGCTTTGCGGATGCTGGCTGGGTTTTTGAGGTTTGGGCCTGCCTTGAGAATGAACTCAGACGTTATAGGAAGTTTGGACGAGGATCTCACCTGAAATCCTGTCCTCATAAAGCGTTTCTGAGAAAATAATCCACGAGCAGATCGGCGTCCCTGAAACTACGAAACTCAGAGCTTTGCCGCAAAACCGCCGGGTTTGAAGTCTCCTGTAGCTCGCAGCTCGTCAGACGGCAGCGCCTGCTTCAGTCCGCGGCCCTGCAGCGCGGGGAGGCTGCGGCACAGCGCGCCGCTGCCCGGAGCCTGGCTCAGGAGGGACGCCTTTTGCAGGAAGTTCGACCCGTCGCTGCGTGTTGAAACTGGACCTTGGCTTCGGTCTGTTTGGAGGTTCAGATGAGGAAACGGGTTCGGCAGTTTGTCGTTTTACATACGCAGCACTTACCCGAGTGGCTATCCACTGAGAAGAGGTAGGTATCCTTCCCAAAATCCAACAGAACGCCAATGTATGTATGTATGTATGTATGTATGTATGTATGTATGTATGTATGTATGTATATATATATATATATATATATAAATTTATATACATACGTTTATTTGTTGACAGGCGTTCCAAAGCGCGTGCTTACACGAACCACTACCCACCCATCGCGATCTCTCGGCCGAGAGATCGCTTCTTTTGGACTCAGCGTCAGATGTTTTTTGCTCGCGAAGACGCCCTGATCGTCGTGCTGACCCCTGCCCCACGTTATGTCAAAGTACTCTGCCCGGCTGGAGCACTCAACGAGTTTAAGACGCCAAGTCCCAGGCCAGCCTCCACTCACAAAGAGACGGACAGAGAGACAGCAGAGAGACACAGAGATACAGGATGACACAGGATGACACAAGAGTGTACTCGTAGCAAAGAGAAAGGCCGGCCTCATGCAGTCGCTGCTTGGAACAGCCTTCGGGGCCTGGGCCGAAGACTGCCGAAAGACGAAGGCATGGTGATAAGCAACCCCACACCTTGTAACAGTGGTGGGCCTAGGCTTCCCCGGCAAGAGCTTCAGCTGAACATAGATATGGTCAGATACGGATATTCAAGAGCAACTTACGAGGGGTTAAGACAAGATGAAAGGGAGTACAGACGTGACGATAAGATTTATGAGGGGTTTGAAGAGATTTAGAGCGAGTCGAGCGGGGGTACTCACAGGACTTATTCAGCTATGAGGTTTTTGAGGATATTGAGAAGGGGTGCGAGGAAGGATTTCATCGCGATTAGCCAGGGCCTTCAAGTGTGTCCCCGAGTCTGGGACGGAAGGCGAGTCTACCCTCTCGCCAATCCATGAGTTTTTGGATAAAGGGATGAATAAATCTGTGTGGTTTCAGTCGATTGAAAAAAAGAGTTTCAAAGGTGCAGGATTTCATGTGCAGGGTATTGGGTGCAGGATGCTCTAGCCATCTCTAGCCCCCCAAAACTGTGGAGTTTATGCCTCGAGCCAGGCACAAATAGTCACCAATCAAAGCCACCGGCATCGCGGGATATCGCGGGCTTCCTGAAGGCAGCGGGAAGACAAACCCTGGCCAAGTCGATGCTGCAGCGACAGCTGGCGGGGACGAGGTTCGATGGCAGGAACCGAGTATTTTCCGGGACAGGCGGTTGTACTTACAGCGGTTGCGGGTTTCACGGGTTGGGAGGCTACTTGGCACTAGTTGCGTTTCCGGTTTCGAGCTTATTTCAACCCGAGCAGTGCTCCGCTTTCGTGGATTCTGCGTTTAAGGCTTTTGAGGACGAGGAAGATCGTACAAATGCAGGTGAAGTAGTTGGGACAACTGTCATCGGGCAGTCGCGGGTCTAGTGATGGCGTCTGAGCTGTGAACTCACTCGGGATGCTTGGTTATTTCGGCTGGAATAGATCCGGTGAAACTAGATTGGTTCGAAGAGGCAAATAAATCAGGGTAAACTCAGGTTGTGGACGTGAACCAGGGTACAGCTTGTGGCGTCACACAACCCGGCTCTTCTATCGCTCCAACTGTAGGCTGACTCGAGGGCATTCAGAGGTCACAGACACAGAAGGCCCACACCACTGACTCACAAGTCATGCGCCCTCATCGTATCATAATCCTTTGGGTACTTCAAGAAAGATCCCTTACAACATCCGGCGAAAAGCCGGAAGTGGATCCAGAGCTTCAAGATCTGTGCTTGAAGCCTTTCAGGGAGCAGACCCTGTCGAGTGCCTTCACGGGATGGCGCCAACATCAAAGGGTCTCGCAGGCCCTGCAGACGGTGGCAGTCAGTCTGATGTCGTGAGGGGTGCTTGCTGAGACCTGCTGGAGATTTTGAGGCGTAGGCTTTTGGTTTAGGTGTGTTGAGATGCACAACAGGACTTGTTGCACAGGGTTTAGGGCTCATGGAAATGACATGGGCGATCCGACCGTTTGTCTTCCAGATCTTTGCAAGGCAAGCTGGAAGTTGCCTCGGCATCCTTCTCCCGGACGCCGCAGCTGTTTGAGCAGGTCCCCGATATCGCCCATCGCCCTTCTTCGCACGATGGCTCGCTCGTCGAGTGTCCTTGCAGGCGGCCTTCTGGGTGCCGCCTCCCTGGGTGGCCTGGCCTTCCTGGCTCCCGGCCAGAGCCGACAGCAGATCGAGGTGCAGAGGGAGGTCTCCGTGGCTGCACAGGCGCCAGGCTTCTTGGCCTCCACGTCCAGCACCAGCAGCGCTGCCCAGGGCGTCACAGGCGCCTTGGCCGTGGCCGGCTTGAGCGTCGCTGCCGTGCGAGGTGCATCTGCTGCATCCCGCCAGAAGGGCATCAAGCCTCGGGCGGCCAAGAGCGTCGTTGCCTGCAACTCCCTGGCCAAGCTGAAGATCGACGAAGTGGACCTGAAGGACAAGCGCGTCTTCATCCGCGTTGACTTCAACGTGCCGCAGGACAAGAAGGACCCGAACATCATCACCAACACTGCGCGAATCGATGCGGCCCTGCCCACCATCAAGTATGCCCTCGACAACGGTGCCAAGTCCGTGGTCCTGTGCTCGCACTTGGGCCGGCCCAACGGCCAGAAAGATGAGAAGTTCTCCATGAAACCGGTGGCCAAGGTGGTCGAGGAGAAGTTGGGACGGCCTGTGAAGCTGATGAACGACGTGGTCGGCGAGGAGGTCGAGGCTGCGTGCGCTGACCCCGAGCCGGGCACCGTGATCCTGCTGGAGAACTCCCGGTACTACGTCGAGGAGGAAGGCAAGGGCAAGGATGCCGATGGCAACAAGGTGAAGGCGGACGCGGACCAGGTGAAGGCGTTCCGTGCATCTCTGGCCAAGCTGGCGGACATCTACTGCTCCGATGCCTTCGGCACCGCCCACCGCGCCCACAGCTCCATGGTCGGAGAGGGCTACCCCGTGAAGTGCTCTGGCTTCCTGCTGGCCAAGGAGCTCGACTACTTCGCCAAGGCGGGGAACATCATAATAATGGCTGAACTGTTGAAGGAAGGACGGGTCGCTGGCCGGTAGGCTGAGGGGCTGAACTTGGACCTTGAATCCGAGCCCGGAAACAGGTGCCATCAGGTGCCTGCCCAGTGAGCTCTCACCTTCCTCACCTCAGGCCTAAACTCCTCCGTTCGGTAATACAGTAACAATACCTTGAATCGATTGATCCTCACAGCTGACCCCAGAATCTTATAGGTCTTGCAGTTGCCTTTACGCCCTGAAGTGACTTATGTCGAATCGAAGCGCTGCTGTGCAGGTGGTGGATGCTCCCACACGGCCGGTGTGCGGCATCCTCGGCGGAGCCAAGGTGGCCGACAAGATCCAGCTGATCATGAACCTCCTGGACAAGGTTGACATCATGATCATCGGAGGAGGCATGGCCTTCACCTTCATCAAGGAGGCCGGTGTGGACATTGGCAACTCCCTCTACGACGAGGAGGGTGCCAAGCTGGTGCCCGAGATCAGGAAGAAGGCCGAGGAGAAGGGTGTGGAGCTGATCCTGCCCGTGGACTTTGTGTGCTCCTCCAAGTTCGGAGATGATGGCGAGATCCAGGAGGGCGATATGAGCACCGGTGTTCCCGAGGGCTTCTTGGGTCTCGACATTGGCCCAAAGTCCATCGCCATGAACGACGAGGCCAGTGTTGCCGCATCCGTGTGTAGGGTTCAAGTTTCTCCAGGTTAGGAGGTGTGGCAGCAGCAATTTCAATATCATGCTACTGCGATCCTCAATCGGATATTGTGGCAGGCGATCAAGAAGTCCAAGACGATCGTCTGGAACGGTCCTATGGGCGTGTTCGAGATGGAGGCCTCGACATGATGCGAATAGCACGATGTCGTTTGCAGGATTTCTGTGGTGCTTTTCTGCTTGTCCTCGCGTGACTGTGTATGCGCTTGTGCTCAGGCATTCGAGAAGGGGACGAAGCAGATGATGGAGACCATCGTGTCGGTCACAAAGGACGGCGCCGTCTCGGTCATCGGCGGAGGCGACACCGCCACTGCATGCAAGAAGTACGACACCGTGGACAAGGTCTCTCACTGCAGCACCGGCGGCGGTGCATCCCTCGAGCTGCTGGAGGGCAAGCTCCTGCCCGGCGTGGCTGCGCTGGATGACTCCAAGTAGGCCGTGGCAGATACTTTTAATGACTCTTGTTATCATGTTTCCTTTTTCCAAGGTTCAGCCCTCTTGCAGACGGCCCCTGCGATTTTCATTAGTGCAGAGGTCGTTGTAGTTCCGCAAAAGCGGAGCATGTGTTGGATATATAGCCGAGAAAGACAACCCGATGCATGTTGTGCGAGTCATGGAAGTGGCAGAAACGATGTCTTGGCGCAGCAGGTAGTAACAGCTACTGGTAGTATTGGCAGCAGTACGGCAGCTGTGCGAATCAGAGCCTGCATGCCTGACGGTGCAGACGGTAGCGACAGGTCGCACCTGGACGCCGCAGCTGTTTGAGCAGGTCCCCGATATCGCCCATCGCCCTTCTTCGCACGATGGCTCGCTCGTCGAGTGTCCTTGCAGGCGGCCTTCTGGGTGCCGCCTCCCTGGGTGGCCTGGCCTTCCTGGCTCCCGGCCAGAGCCGACAGCAGATCGAGGTGCAGAGGGAGGTCTCCGTGGCTGCACAGGCGCCAGGCTTCTTGGCCTCCACGTCCAGCACCAGCAGCGCTGCCCAGGGCGTCACAGGCGCCTTGGCCGTGGCCGGCTTGAGCGTCGCTGCCGTGCGAGGTGCATCTGCTGCATCCCGCCAGAAGGGCATCAAGCCTCGGGCGGCCAAGAGCGTCGTTGCCTGCAACTCCCTGGCCAAGCTGAAGATCGACGAAGTGGACCTGAAGGACAAGCGCGTCTTCATCCGCGTTGACTTCAACGTGCCGCAGGACAAGAAGGACCCGAACATCATCACCAACACTGCGCGAATCGATGCGGCCCTGCCCACCATCAAGTATGCCCTCGACAACGGTGCCAAGTCCGTGGTCCTGTGCTCGCACTTGGGCCGGCCCAACGGCCAGAAAGATGAGAAGTTCTCCATGAAACCGGTGGCCAAGGTGGTCGAGGAGAAGTTGGGACGGCCTGTGAAGCTGATGAACGACGTGGTCGGCGAGGAGGTCGAGGCTGCGTGCGCTGACCCCGAGCCGGGCACCGTGATCCTGCTGGAGAACTCCCGGTACTACGTCGAGGAGGAAGGCAAGGGCAAGGATGCCGATGGCAACAAGGTGAAGGCGGACGCGGACCAGGTGAAGGCGTTCCGTGCATCTCTGGCCAAGCTGGCGGACATCTACTGCTCCGATGCCTTCGGCACCGCCCACCGCGCCCACAGCTCCATGGTCGGAGAGGGCTACCCCGTGAAGTGCTCTGGCTTCCTGCTGGCCAAGGAGCTCGACTACTTCGCCAAGGCGGGGAACATCATAATAATGGCTGAACTGTTGAAGGAAGGACGGGTCGCGGGCCGGTAGGCTGAGGGACTGAACTTGGACCTTGAACCCGAGCCCGGAAACAGGTGCCATCAGGTGCCTGCCCAGTGAGCTCTCACCTTCCTCACCTCAGGCCTAAACTCCTCCGTTCGGTAATACAGTAACAATACCTTGAATCGATTGATCCTCACAGATGACCCCAGAATCTTATAGGTCTTGCAGTTGCCTTTACGCCCTGAAGTGACTTATGTCGATTCGAAGCGCTGCTGTGCAGGTGGTGGATGCTCCCACACGGCCGGTGTGCGGCATCCTCGGCGGAGCCAAGGTGGCCGACAAGATCCAGCTGATCATGAACCTCCTGGACAAGGTTGACATCATGATCATCGGAGGAGGCATGGCCTTCACCTTCATCAAGGAGGCCGGTGTGGACATTGGCAACTCCCTCTACGACGAGGAGGGTGCCAAGCTGGTGCCCGAGATCAGGAAGAAGGCCGAGGAGAAGGGTGTGGAGCTGATCCTGCCCGTGGACTTTGTGTGCTCCTCCAAGTTCGGAGATGATGGCGAGATCCAGGAGGGCGATATGAGCACCGGTGTTCCCGAGGGCTTCTTGGGTCTCGACATTGGCCCAAAGTCCATCGCCATGAACGACGAGGCCAGTGTTGCCGCATCCGTGTGTAGGGTTCAAGTTTCTCCAGGTTAGGAGGTGTGGCAGCAGCAATTTCAATATCATGCTACTGCGATCCTCAATCGGATATTGTGGCAGGCGATCAAGAAGTCCAAGACGATCGTCTGGAACGGTCCTATGGGCGTGTTCGAGATGGAGGCCTCGACATGATACGAATAGCACGATGTCGTTTGCAGGATTTCTGTGGTGCTTTTCTGCTTGTCCTCGCGTGACTGTGTATGCGCTTGTGCTCAGGCATTCGAGAAGGGGACGAAGCAGATGATGGAGACCATCGTGTCGGTCACAAAGGACGGCGCCGTCTCGGTCATCGGCGGAGGCGACACCGCCACTGCATGCAAGAAGTACGACACCGTGGACAAGGTCTCTCACTGCAGCACCGGCGGCGGTGCATCCCTCGAGCTGCTGGAGGGCAAGCTCCTGCCCGGCGTGGCTGCGCTGGATGACTCCAAGTAGGCCGTGGCAGATACTTTTAATGACTCTTGTTATCATGTTTCCTTTTTCCAAGGTTCAGCCCTCTTGCAGACGGCCCCTGCGATTTTCATTAGTGCAGAGGTCGTTGTAGTTCCGCAAAAGCGGAGCATGTGTTGGATATATAGCCGAGAAAGACAACCCGATGCATGTTGTGCGAGTCATGGAAGTGGCAGAAACGATGTCTTGGCGCAGCAGGTAGTAACAGCTACTGGTAGTATTGGCAGCAGTACGG